TCTCAGAGAGAAAGTTGTAAGACGGATTTCAGTAGAGGTAGACCTTCAACATTTCTTGTTATCTGGGATGGCCGGCATCGGCAAGACCCACCTGGCAAAGAGAATCTTCCAAGACCCGTCAGTTTCAAACCGGTTCGAACTTCGCCTGTGGGTCCCCATCGGTTCTAGATACCGGTTAGAAAAAATCTTGAGGTGTATCATGGGTCAAGTGACTGGTGACAGCGAAACTCTTCCAGAGAGGGGAATGGCCGAGTTTGTTTCTGGAAAACTAAAAAGCAAGACATACCTTGTGGTGTTGGATGATATATGGAGCCATCAGGTTTGGTATGAGTTGAAAAAGTTGTTCCCAGACAACAAGAATGGGAGCCGGGTCCTGGTAACAACCAGGGTGCATAAACTACTGGAAAAATCATTCATTCATCATGAGAGACTTCGCCTGCTCAATTCCGAGGAGAGCTGGTGCCTTCTTCGCGAGAGGGTATTTGGCGATCGGGAGCCGTGCCCTCGTGAGCTTGAGGAGGCCGGAAAGAAGATTGCCAAGAATTGTGAGGGCCTTCCTCTCACAATACTCACGGTCGCTAGTCTCATAGCTGGTCAAAGAAATGCAAAGTATTGGACTGATGTAGCAGAAAACCGAAATTCAGTCTTCACTGAGGCGTACGACCTGATATCGGATGTACTACTCCCGAGCTACAACCACTTGCCCCAGCATTTAAAGGCATGCTTTCTTTACATGGGCATTTTCCCCCGAGATTACGAGATCCCCCGTTCGAAGCTCTTTCATTTGTGGTTTGCCGAGGGACTTGTGGAGTCCAGTAGGTCTGAACCAGCGGAGGATTTGGTCTCCGAGTATCTGGAAGACCTTGTATCTAACAGTGTTGTCATGATCCGCCAGAAGGGCTCAGTTTCTCACCTCAACTTACCATCATATTACGTAATCAAGACCTGTGGCCTCCATTCCGCTTTTCGCCACCTGTGCGTGAGGGAAGCTGAGGGGAACAAATTTTTCCACATTTTCAACCGTCTTGAAGATGGTTTAGTGCATAAGACAAATGGCCACCGCCGTTTGTGTATCCACAATAACGTCTTGCTCGGCATAAAAAATGTTTATAACTCTGTGGGGTCTGTTCCCAGTGCACGCTCTCTCCTATGCACCGGCCCATACCATCAGTACCCGGTGCCAGTATGTTTCGGTCGTTTAAGACTTTTGACGGTTGTTGATGCTGTTGCGCTCCGTTTTTACGAGTTCCCTTTGGAAGTATTGAAACTAGTTCAGCTGAGGTACCTTTCACTCACTGTGAACGAAAACCTACCCCCTTCGATATCTGACCTTGGTAATCTTGAGTACCTGATTGTCCTTCAACACGTGAGCATTGTGCCCTGTGAGACCCCATCATATCTACCTTTGGCGATATGGGATATGAAAGAGATCAAGCATCTTCAGGTTAAAGGACGCGACTTGCCGAGTCCTTCTGAGCGTGGCGCCTTCTTGCCAAATCTCTCGACGCTTTTGGATGTGAGTGCTCACAGCTGTACCAAAGATGTTCTTCGCAGACTCCCAAATCTATGTAAATTAAGGATTCAGGCTGAAGTTGGGTCGGATGATGCTCGTCATAATAACCTCTTTAGCTGGTTCAATCACTTTTCTATGCTGAATCAGTTGGAATCACTTAAATTTGTGATCGCAAATCCTTTGCTCGTACGCCGGTTGCCTCCACTATTTGTTTCTCCTTTGAATCTTACCAAGTTGAGTTTGAGCGGGTTGGGTTACCCTTGGGACGAGATGAGTAAGATTGCCTCGTTGCCAAATCTCGAGGTACTCAAACTGCAGTGCTACGCATTCCGTGGCCCGAAATGGGAGATGAAGAGAAAGGGATTCGTGGAGCTTAAGTTTCTGCTGATTGAGGATACTGATCTGGCGGAGTGGAAGATCGGACGTGGAAGCTTCCAGAAGATGAGGCATCTCTGCATCAGAAACTGCTACAAGTTAGAAAAGTTCACTCCAGAATTTGGTATGCAACTAAACAGGATTGAATTGATAGACTGCGGCCCAGTGGTAGTGGCTAATGCACAGCAGATTGAAGAGCAGTTGAAGAGTAATCTATTTCGTTATTCTTTCGACGTTCGTGTTCGCTCTTCTTGGGAAACTCGGGCAGAAAACCAGTCACTTGAATAGAAAGGTTAGTCATCTAGTTATACTAATTTTGCAACTTATAGTATTTTTAAAGAACATGCAACCGATTTGAATTTGCCGGTACTTGTATCAAATTCAATACCTTCAAATGTAGGTCATTACTAACAATGAGGACACACACTTGCTGCCAAGAGGAACTCTAAATAATTGAACAAGAATATTAATTAGCTTTGTCAACTGATTTAATTTACTACTCGCCGGCATTATCGACTGAGTGTATCATATATAATAATTATTATATATATTTGGGTCATTGTTTTAAAATTAAAAAATGCCATTTGCACTGGGTATAGGAAAAGGGAAAATGTAAAAGTGTAATGCTTTCTGTGTGCTCTGTTCCCACAGGATGAATACAACTAATGGATAATAAAAAATAAATAAAAATCAGAGTGGTAAAAATGCATAATTTGACCTAAAAATACGATCAGTTTTATATAGATTTAAAATCGAAATTACTAAGTACGTGTAAATTATGTATGTACCACATGCGACTGGATAATCAGTCACCACCTCCACCTGCCGTGCTTTTAGAAGTGAATGACCTCGCTACAATTTTTATGAACTCTAATTTAAACATTGTAATATTCATGTTAAGAGAGGTAGAGGTCGGCCTAAACTCATTTGGGAAGAGTCGGTTAAGAGAAACCTTATAGATTGGAATATCTCCAAAGATCTAGCGGTGGATATGAGCGCTTGGAGGCTCGCTATCAATGTGCCAGAGCCGTGACTTTTGTTCCTTTCTCTCTCTCTCGTTTTTTTTTTTTTTTTTTTTTTTTCGATTTCTTCCTTTCGGTTCGAGTCTTTTTGTGTTTCTCTTGGGTTTCATCTCTAGCCTATCTCGACTTGCTTTGGACTAAAGGCTATGTTGTTGTTGTAATATTCATTTTAATTTGCAGGATGCAATGTGAAAGTATTGATATCAGGCTTAATTAGTTCACATTATTTTTAATCAAATCTATGTACAATCCATATTTCTTGGTAGTTGCAACTTGCAAGTTGCAACAAAGAGCGGGCAAGTGGCTAATTAAATATTCATGCATAAGACCTCCCCCGTTAGTTCTCACTCTGCTCATTGTATAATATTAATATAATATAATGTAATAGTAGCAACTATTCTACATCTATTTCATTTCACCAAACACTGTCCATTTCCACTCCTCTGCACTTGACTTTGCACAGTATTGATCTCTCGCTAATATGGCAGATGCAGCGGTGGAGTTCCTGCTGACGAAGGTGACGGAGGTGCTGACATGGTACACGGATCTGATAACGGGGGCAGAGAACGACCTGCAGCAGCTGAACAATGAGCTGGGCATGTGCAAGTCCTTCCTTTTGGACGCCGCCAGAAGGCCCAAGAAGGAGGAGTTTTTCCGGGAGATTGAGAGGCAGATCCGAGAGGTGGTCTACGATGCGGACGACACCATCGACTCCTGCCTCACTCAGGCCAACAGGGCCAAGGCCAGGGCCAAATCCAAGTCCAGTAAGCTCTCCAAGTGGGGGAAGAAGGTCGTCGACAAGGTTGACGTCAGCTTGCCTCTTCAGGTCAAGGCCCTCAGGACCGACAAAGTGGCCCCCGTCCTCGAAAAGATGAAGCTCTACCTGGAGACCCACGACAGCGGATCCGGCTCCTCCGGCACCACCTATGATGAGTCTCCCTCACATGCGTTTGAGGTTAATTTTATCCTATTCCTTTTGCCCTTTTTCAATAATATTTCAACTTCATCTGTTTGCTGGCTCTAGTTGAAATGTTTTGATTCACATTGTCGAATGTTACTATGTTAATTGCCGAATTAATGCAAAACATAGACCAAACAAAATCTTAATTTTTTTTTTTTTTTTTTTTTTTTTTTTTTTTGTAAATACTAATAATTATTATGTGGGGCTATCTGCAGCTGCCGTCATTCCGGAAAGACAATGTGGTAGGTCTGGAAGACGAGGAAGAAAGGATAGTGAATTGCCTGCTGGAGCCTTGGCACGAGCTGGACATTATCTCCATCATCGGCATGCCCGGCCTTGGCAAGACAACTATCGCTTACAAGGTATACGAAAGCCAAGTGATCAGGCGAGAGTTCCCGGTGCGCATATGGGTGTACGTGACTCAGGTCCTTAACCGCAAGGACGTTCTCCTCACCATCCTCAAGGACTTCACTAGCCAGGACCTGTCCGCCTGGACGGAGCACCAGCTCACCCAGGAGGTCCGCCGCCGCCTCACCGGTGCCGGCCGCTTCCTCCTCGTGATGGACGATGTCTGGAGCGTCGAGGTCTGGAACGCCATAAGCGATGTCCTCCCGA